ACACACACACACACACACACACACACACAACCAAAGCGTCCTTCCAAAGCAAAAACAAACAAACAAACAAACAAACACCAAACTATGTGTCCAATCAAATTTGTTGTTTTATTCAATTATGATTGAGATGATTACATTCCAGAAAAGGAATTTTAGGGAACAGTGGTTCTATGGTTGCCAGAGTTAAATTCCTCCGATTTTAGTTAGTTGAATTTAATTATACACATGAATAACATAAGAATGCCAAGGCAAGAATGAAATATTGGTTCAATGATCATCTCAAACAAGCAAAGCAATTAACAAAAGTTTATTAGCATAATTTTCAGGCTCCTAAGTACTAGAAGACAGCGCTTCCTGGCTATGGAGCATGCACTGCTCCAGTCCAAGTGCTCTGGAGTACCGCCTCTAACTCACTCAGCCTAGAAACTCCGCTGCTGTTGAGCATGTCTGGTCATACTTAGAGGGTGCAAGGAGCCACCATAAATAAAATAATATTATCTTAAATATAATTTATAAATACATATATAAATAACTTAAAAATAACATTCCATGGTTTGTCTTCTTGAGGCTCAGCTTCAAGAGTTATTTGGCTAAAATGACCTTAATAACTGACATTAGCGAAACGCTGAGGCAGGAAGGATCTAGCTAGCATTCTCTCCTTTTGGAAAATGGTAAAACCAAGATGTTAGAAACTTCCCATTGGACTAAGAATCTGTCAGGAATTTATATGCGGAAGGCATAAGTTGGGATGAAATCCTAGGTCTGGGGTTCTCGTTCTAACTGCTGGTTTTGTATTTTTGAGTTTTCTTCTGCCTGTAATCTGAGTCTTTGTGGTAGTTGCTGTGAGGAGCCCTGGTCCTCCTATGAATGTTATGAAGAATGATAATTAAAATGATTGGTACTGTGCAAAGTATAGGGTGTTCTTTAAATAACAAATAGCATTATATGTTAATGTTGGTTCTATTAGATAATCCATTCTCTTACAAAGAGGGTAAACATTCATTTAGAGTTACAAAGGCTCAGCACATGCTCGGCAAATGAGTAATAGCAGAGATCAACTTCTTCATGTACATGGTACACACAGACTAACAGACTCCAGAGCTGAGGCTGGCTCTAGGATACCACAAAGTCTGTCATATAGAGTGGTGGCTTAGACAAGGTCACAAAACTGGAAGACTGTGTGGCAAGGAACAGCTCGGTGTTGACAGCTGACCTGAAGTAGCTGTGATTTCTCACAATTTCCCAGAAGAAGATCAGATTGATGTCATCCCCTGTGATGGTCTTTGGCATCTCAGGTATCTCCTACAATAAACAGAACAGAATTATGTTAGGGAAAAATAACTGAAGACAATGCTAGACAAAGAACTGAAGCCTGGGCCGGCCAGATAGCTCAGTGGACTAAAGTGCCTGCTTAGGCAGGCTCAGTGACTGGGGTTTGATTCCCAGTGTGTCATGCTGGCCCTGCCCCTGGGGTGAGCTGAGACTGGACATGGTGGTGCGCACCTGTTATCCCAGCGCGTGGGAGGCTGAAAACAGAAGGATCTCTATGAGTCCAATCTGTGTAGTGAGACCCGGTAGACCCTGTACTAAAACACTTAAAAAAAGAAAGAGGTGAAGCCCAGTTGTTTGGCGTTTGGCTTTTGTGAGAAACAGCACATTGGGACTATGCCTCTAACCTGATGGATGACACACCTTCTTCATTTATTCATTCATCAAACATTTATTTCATACTAATTAGATGCAAGTCCCACTGTATTCATGAGAGTTGATTTCTTTAATTAGTTGGACAGAAATCTAAATTAGTCATGAAGATTGCCAGTGGAACTAGGGTCTTACTATCTGGGCAGGTGGGAGTGAAGCATTGTGTGTGTTCTGCCTTCAACACAAGCCTAAAGGTCTGACTATCTGGGCATAAAGGTATTTTGCTTCAGATCCAAGCACCAGTGATTCTAAGATCTCTAAACATTGTAGCCTCTACATGTGCAAATCATACCTTTGGGAGAGCAATTTAGCATGTAGATCACATTAATCTCCACATTTAAGTAAAAAATTAAAGATTTCACACACACACACACACACACACACACACACACACACACACACCACTGTCCCATCCCAGATAGGGCAGCAGCTGAACATTTTGTATTCAATTTCTTGAAAATATGTTCTTCTTATGTACAGAAGATAACACAATTATTTCATGGAAACATGACTTTCACATTTTATGTTGAGTTCTTTCTTTCTTACCCTTTTTAATCTAAAGCTAGTAAACATTCAGAGGTTCCCTTGGGTTTTTCAATGTCAGCAAAGATTTTATTTCTCAAGTCTATTCCTCTGTTGGCTTTTCCATTTCAGCAAATAGAGTCTCTCCCTCTTCTTCCTATTGGTTTTATCTCCCAAATTTAAGCCAATTCTACTTCCACCTTACATTATGCCTGTGACTACAGTCATAACCTACTAATTTAACTCTGCTTTCTCTATTCTGGAATATTCTTTTTTTGTATTTTAAGGAAGTCTACAGGGTGTTCAGGATCTCACTACTAGATCAGACTCACAGTGATTCTCCTGTTTACAGCCTCCCAAGAGCTGGGATTACAGGTGCGTGCCACCATGCCCAGTCTCAACTGCCATCTCAGCACACCCCAAGCGGTGGGGCCGGCATGGAATATTCTTCATTTAAGAAATATAAATGAGGTCGGGACATTGCATTATTTGAAATCTTTTAAAAGCTTTTCATTGTACCTCAAATGAAATCCAGTGCAAACCCTATAAGCACTATCTCTGCATATCTTCATGCCTCACAATACCCCACAGTCTTGGAGTTGGACTTTAAGCTTAGGAGGCAAGAGGTTAGGTGCACATAGGGCCTTCTGTCTAAAGGCCCCACCCTACTAATCCTCTTGCTTAGTATGCTCCTTGCTACAAGCATTTCTCATTTTTGCATTTGCCACTACATGTCAATAGTACACTGCCATGTTTTTCCTCTTGGATTCTTATTAATTTTTTTTTACAGTATCTTGTAGTTTTTGTTGGTTGTTTGACTTGGTTTTGGAAGGCTAAGTTTTACAGTGCTAGACACTTTGCTAGTCCACTCTCCTTCCAGTTGTCAGCACCATGCTGGAATACTGGAAGATTCTCAGTAAATAATACTTGTTGAATGAACTCATAAAACTCCTGTCCCGTCTACAGAAATCACTTTCATTTTACTTGATCCATAAGTTCTAACTGAAGTGGAGGGCATTGGATTATAACATTTTTTGAATGAGAATTAACTGCTTGTCTGTGAAGAAAACATCTAAGGCTATAGTGTGTGTGTGTGTGTGTGTGTGTGTGTGTGTGTGTATTTGAGGGGGAAAGTGGGAGAAGAGATGGGTGGGGTGTGATGAGGGGGAATGGTAGAGCTCATAAAGAGGGAGTGCCAATGGAGAGAGAGGTCAGAGTTTGAATCTTGGTTTTTCTGATTTTTTGATTTGTGGTCATTGACAGGTAGTCGTTACTCTCTGATCTTGGTTGGCTTACTAAGTTTCTCAGCAGCAGGGCTCACTGTCCTAATGTCAAGTGTTTTGTAGTTGGGTGGGATACATGTGTGCCCTGGGTTGAGAGGCAAATAGGGCCAGGAAGGAAGATAAAGAAGAAAGTAGGTATCTCTTGTTTTCTCTGCTACCTCTATTGCCCCTCTCACGTGTTCTGCCTCTGTAGATAGATAAGAAATCAAGTAGGGCTGGGGTGTGAAGGAGAGGGGACTGTGGTAGAGAGGGAAGAGGGCAGTGCCACTGCCAGGAGCATAAGTGGAAATAAAAGAGGGTAAACTGAGATACAAGCTACCAACCTTCAGCAGCACGGGCTGGTTTTCCTCCTGAGCACACACATACAGTTGTGTGTTTGAGATTTTTAGAGTCACAGGACGTATCCTTGTTCCCACATAATGAGCTATGTCAAATTTCACTGCCAAACAGGAGAGCAGAAACAAAAGTTAATTCATTGTATTTTTATAAAATCAAACGTTTTTGCAGACTGTGTGTATATAATTAGGTTTCCAGCTCTAGTGTAAATACTTAGAAATGAGGAATAGAACTCTATACATCTCTGTATCATTTACAGTATCCATATATTTATCAGACCATATATTTATCCATATATTTACCAAACAGATAAATGCTTGGAAATGAGGAATAGAACTTTATATATCTCTGTATCATTTACAATATCCATATATTTACCAGACAGGTAAATAGTTAATGTTTTTAACATTTATGTAACGGATGAATAAATATTTGTTGAGTCTTTTTCAGTTACATTTGGGGGATAAGACCCTATAATTCATGAGTTCATAATGACCTAAACAGAAGAAGAGTTTAGAAAGCTGACATGCATATGATACATGCATACATGCATATGAAAAAGGAGTTTCAGTTTATCTGAGTAGTGGCATATGCCTGCAATCCCAGCCCTGTGGGGTGCAGAGGCAGGAGGATGACAAGTTTAAGTCCATTCTTGGCAACTTGGAAAGGCCTTGTGTCAAAATAAAAAATATATATATAGAAAGGACTGAGGATGTAGCTCATTGTGAAAATCGATAGTCAACCTCCAGCACTGAAAAAAAAAGAAAGAAAAAAGAAAGAAAGAAAATTCATGGGAGGACCATAAGAGCAACATGCTTAAAAACTCTAGTGCTATTGAAAATACAAAGCACAAATATAATGTCAATGTGAGAGAAAAGTATTTGAAACAATAAGTAGGAAAATAGACTAAACAGTATGTAAAAGTCACATGGTAAAAAGCATGCAAGCTCATCCAATCAGAAAAAGTCCAGCTTGTTGATTGGAGTTACCTCTTTGGATGTTTGAACATAATTTTGAATATAATTTTGTGTACCAAGGACACGTCCTGATGCTGAATCAGATTCACTGTGGAAATTGACCTCTGTTATAAAATCTCTTGGACTTGGTAAATTGCATTCTTCGGAACATATTCCAGCTTATTGGAAACTTTCCCTCATAAGTCTGTTATCAAAGATAACAAAAATCTTGCCAGTTTGGTGTTACTTCTAAGTTTAATCTTTAGGATCTTTAATGGACAGTGATTTAATCCTCTCTGCCTCCTAGGTAAATTTGAATAAGTCATTTAATATTTCAGAGGCTCAAGTTTTCATCTTTAAAACCAGAAGGTAAGAGTATCTACAAGAGCTACGGAGAGAGGACAGCAGAGAGCTTGGAGCTGTCTTAGTGTTCTGAGGGACACTCGTGTCTTGTGGAATTTACAGATTCAGCTGGAACTTCTGTCTTTGGGATTTTTACCAGGGCTGGGGATGGAGGGATATATACTTCATCTCATTCTAGGAAATCCGAGTTGTATAGAAGTTCAGACTCTGAAATCAGAAGGGTTCAAAGAAGTAAAAGGGGAGGAGGGTGACAAGTTGGCTATTTACCTTCAAGATGCCAATTATTTGCTGTAAGATATGCAGCTTTGAGATTTGAATCACTTATATATAAGCTTTGATGAATGGGGTCATTTAGGGTCAATCCCTTTTTTAAAATCCTCTTGTATACGTATTTCACATTGCTCTGGAGGCTGTAAGGCACTGACTGCGGCTCGATGATTTCTAAAAACATTACCACAAGTTCAAATTAACATTTAGGTACAAACACAGATGACCTAGGTATGCTAATCTAAGCATAGGAAGTAGCTCTGGAAGGGACATTAGGAATAATTCAATCCAAGCGAGGGAAAGGAAATGAAATTTGTGAACAGTAGATTGATTTTAAGATGAATCTGGGCATTCTTATTTGCTTTTTAAAAATTGGATTCCTCAGGCAATAGTTACTTTTTTTAAAAGATGTATTATTTGTGCAACTTTCTCATTTTGAGTTGTTTGCTTAGAAGCCAACTGCCAGGGTACATATGTATTGGCTTTTTTTTTTTTTCCCAGAACTGGGGATTGAACTCAGGTCCTTGCGCTTGCCAGGGAAGTGCTTATTCCACTGAGCCATCTCCCCGGCTCCATTTTGAGTTGTTTGGAGGAAGGTTTCAAGTATTCCCTATCTATATTTTCAAACAAATTTACTGTGAGATTAAAAACAAATACACTAAAAATTGTCATTTAAAAAAAAACTATAATTTTTCACTGAGTGTGTCCATGTGCCATCCATTCTTCTCGAAAGTTGTTCTTCTCAATAGTCTTGTGACTCTGAGTAATATCACTTTTAGGAATCTATTCTAAGGAAATAAAGATTTATTGACAGAAATATGCATTGTCATTTTATATACCAAGGCAAAACATTTATTCTTTAAAATGCCCTTGATACGTTGCTAAGTGAAATAGGCTGGATATAAAATTGCGTATTCCTAGGGCAGGTGAGATAGCTCAATGGACTAAGTGCCTGCTTAGGCAAGCGCAGGGACTGGGGTTTGATCCCAGGCCCCATTCTGAGCGGGCCACTGAGACCATGGTGGTGCATGCCTATAATCCCAGGGCTGGAGAGGCTGAGAACAGGATGAGCACTATGAATCTGAGCTGCATAGTGAGACCCTGTATCAAATACATTAAAAATTGCATATTTCTAATAATGCAAAATATGTCTGTTCATGTGTGTATTTATAAAAAAAAAAAAAAAGACTTTCAGGAAACACCATAGTATTGATGGGGTTAAACTCTGAAGTGGCAAAAATGAGAGATTTTTTTATGTTCTTTAAAAAAATATTTTGTTGTATTTTTAAATCTTCTTGGTGAACACGAGTTACTACATAAGCTGTTATATGAAAAACAGTAATATTGGATTTTTTGCGTCCCATAAAATAATGCATAGTAAAGGCATGAAAGCAAAACCGTGATTTAATTGGTACAACTGAACAACAGCTCTGGGGTCTCCACACGCAGACTGCGTGACTTTGGGTTGGCTGCATATCTCAGTGAGATTAATTGCCTCATACGTGAAAGGAAGGTTTTTGTGAGGCAGAGAGATAGCGCAGCCGTTAGTAAACTAGTGGTACTGGCTGCGTCAGCAGAGGCGGCGGCAGTAATAATAGCAACAGCAGCTCACGTTTCTTGAGTGGTTACTATGCACCACATGCTCTTCTAGTTTCAAAGTTTGGGACGATTGACTTATTTCATCTGCCCAGCAATCGAACGAGGCAGGACTCTGATCCGCTCCAATAAGGAATGGAAACGCAGACAGATGAAGGGACATCGGTAATGCGGACTTTCTCTGGAAAGACTGGAAGTCTTACAGCCTTTATAGTACGGCCAAGAGATGAGCTCACAAATTAATATACAAGACTCAGGCTTTTGCCCCCTCCTCCCCAGGACAAAGACTAATTTTCCTTTTTTAAAATTTATGTATTTGGTGCAGGATCTTGTTATGCAGCTCACATTCTGGCACAGCATGTGGTACTGGGGATTGAACCCCAGCCCTTGCTTTTGCCTGTCAGGCGCTTAGACTGCTGAGCTATCTCTCTGGCCCAATTTTCCTCTTAAATAGTTCCCAGATAATGCCTGGTTGTCTTCTCTCTCTCTTCTTTTTTTCCCCCTGAGGCTAGGTTTTATCTCCCCTACCTTATATTGTCTCCATTTACTTAAAACTGAAAAATAAGGATGCCATGGTGCTTGACTCCTTACCTTCTTCCAAGTCATTGTCGATGGCTTCCAGATCTTCTTCATCAGTGATGGTTTGATTCAAACCCAGCCGCCTCTTCTTCAGAATCTTCCCGTGGGCTAATGTTGCCACCACCACCAGGTCCTCCTCCAGCGTGAGGTTGGACGCCTCTGAGGTTTCACAGGTATTCAGAGGCTCACGCTTATCCATGCCGTGCTTGTCAAGTGGGCCGTAGCTTGTGTCATAGAAGGACTTCTGCGGGAAGAAAAATGGCAACCGAGAGGCTGTCTGTGGCCGTAGATGAGTCTTTCAGTGGAGCTGTGTCCAACATGTAAAAGCTCTTCACTCTGGTCGTGGGTAATCCTTGCTTCATCAGTTCTCCCATCTGCTTTTCCCTCCTTCTCTCTCTCCCTCCCTCCCTTCCTCCTTCCTGCTCTCTCTTTCTCCTTCTAGTTCCCTGCAAACATGTAATTTCTCAGGAAAACTTTTTCAACCATTTGTAGGCTCAAAAATGATTTTTTTTTTCATTTATGTATTTGGCACAGGGTCTTACTACTCAGCTCGGACTCATGGCGATCCTCCTGTTTTCAGGCTCCCCAGCACTGGGATTACAGGGGTGTGCCACAATGCCTGGACTCTGTCACTGGCTCAGCGCACCGAGGGGCAGGGTTGGTGCAGCATGCAGAACTGGGGATCGAACCCTGGCCCCTGCACTTGCCAAAGCAGGCTCTTAGTCTGCTGAACTATCTCGCTGGCTCTCCAAAAATGAGATGTTGTAATGAAATGAATTTACAAATCATCTCAGTGAGTGACACCCTTCCACTGACTTCCCCCTCAGGAGGTTAAATGTCTATTTCACAGCATCCTAAAATATTTCAGAAATACATCCAGCGCTCCATATCCATGTGTTTTGTATTTTGGGATTCAACTAACCTCAGTTCTAAAATATTTGGAGGTAATAAACTGCATCTGTAATTTATATACAGAGCTTTTTCTTGTCATTATTTCTTAAACAACATGGTACAATAGCTGCTTACATGGTATTTTACCAAGTTGGTATTGGAAGTAATTTAGAGATAAGCGTGTGGGAAGGTGTGTGTAGGGTATCTGCAAATGCTATTTACAGATGTTGGTTCCATGGGGGTCCTGAAACCTGCTACCCATGATGCCTAAGAATAACTGTCCTCCTCTGGGAACAGGTGCTTTTCTTTGTCTTTTTGAGACAGGGTCTTGCTAGGTAGCTCAGGTTGGCCTCACACTTGCAGTGGTCCTCCTGTTCTAAGCTTTCTGAGTGCTGGGACTATTGGGATGTGCCACCATGCCCTTGGGAGAAAAGTTTCTAAAAGCAGGACCCCAGATACACAAAATAACACAGCTGGGCAAACATCAACACATTTCTCATTTCTGACTGGCCTGTTCCCTCTACTTCAGCTT